ATAGAGAGACCCTTACCATCTGAACGCATAGAAATCCCTCGACCCCCAACCTGAAGAATCACTTTTCGAATAAACAAGATGGCATCTAGTTCTCTCAGCAGCCGATTTGAAATCAACAAGGGTGCGTTTCCTTTGATTACTTCTATGCGGATCCACTGACCATCGTGCACCGGAAGGAGAAGCGCATATTTTGCAGTCAGGGTGCCACTGTTCCCAAACCTAAAGGTGACACCTGAAGCTGTCTTCTTAATACCCTGACGGCAGGCAAAGGGCAAGCCTTCGATCACTGTTCTGAGCCGATCTTCTCCTACTACGGTCCTACTGGCCCCAGTATCAACTACACCCTCGGCCCCAACCGTAACTACAAACAACGGCTCATCCCCATCACACTCACAGTTTGATGGCTCAAGACCGGAAGTCTGACCCTCAAAACTTGGCCTGCATGCACTCTCCAACATACGGCTCACGATGGTCCTCGCCTTCGGAAAAGTTGAACTGCTATCCGACCTGCGCAAACAAAAGGTACGACTTGCAAATGCATCTCTAAAACTCACGAATGATGACACCTTTGGTGTAACTAGGAGGCAGGGATGCGAACTAATTCGTGATCCTACCAGCCTGTCTTCGGATGACCCCGGTGCCTGCGAGTGCTCAAGAACAACAGCTGAGGCATCCTCGGGCAAGGCTGAGAGGAGCTCATGGGGCGGGTCGTGCGGGTCATCATCGGCGGAAGCTCCCTCGGTGTAGTGCGAGATCTCGGTCTTGTTCGATTGAAGCGTTGGGCATTCGCGCTTCCAATGCCCAACCTGTCCGCAGAGCCTGCAGCTCGATGAAGCGATTCTCTCCGCCAGCGATTTGCGTCGCCAGCCACCTGAGTTCGAAATCTTTCCTTTCTTCGCATTGCTGGCCTTTCCACGTCCTTTGCCCTTGATCGGGAAGAAGCCGCGGCTGCGCGCCTTGTCCTTCAACCTCTGTCGAGCTTCCTGGTACGTGGTGAACACTGGGGCCAGCTCGCTGTCCTGAACCGCCTCGATGATCTGCTCCTCGAACTCGGCCACATACACCGCGTCTTCATCACCTGCGTCAATCATCTGCTGCAGCATCTGGTCTTCATCGAATTCCTCACTCGCGACGAAAGCCTCATCAAGACCCTCTTCTTCGGTCACATGGATATCATAGACCTTGTTGCGCTCGAGTGCTTTGCCTGATGAGTGTCCTTGATTGCGATTCTGAAAATCTGTGAAGAACCTGGACCCCAGCAATCTGATCTCCCGGATGGTGCTCTCATAGGTAAGCTTGCCCTTGGACTCCACCACGACCCTTTTCTTGTCTTCTGAATTCAGTTGGGACTGTCTCAAAAGTACATAGGCCCGTATCTCCTGCAGTGTAATCCCCTGGGCAATCAGCTCCTCGAAGAAGGCATCGTGCCTGGCAATGTAAGAATCATTGCTCTCATCCGGTTTCTGCATCACTTGATAGATCGCCTGCTCAAAGAAGTGATATTTTCTTCAAGGGGAGTCTTTCCCCAGGAGCCTCCCAAAGACTCCACCAAGAGCTTAATGCCGGCTTCACTTCGCAACTTGTCTGGACTGATGCGGGTCACCTTCTGAAATGCCGACCCTTCCACATTCAGTGCAGCTCGAGGGCCCAGAAGGGCGATGTGCTCCACGGGCCACAGCTCCTTCAAGAACTGCAATCGTCGCGTGTATTCGTCCACATTGGTAACTCCTGGCGTAAACTTCGGGATCTGTTGCCACGGGAGGTTGCTGACAGGGACTGACGCTCCCATGCTCGCTTCCGCCGTCTCCTGTGAAGGAGATTCGCCGGCTCCCGACATGGCTCTGCCCACCCGTTTCCGTCTGCCTCGACGACGGGCTAGGCTCCGCTACCAGTGTGAATCAGCCCCCTTGTCGGGAGAGACCCACACTGGCCGGATGACTACGAACCCCTTCCTAGACACCCCGTGCCTAGGGAAAGAATGTTAACGAGCCCTGCTCGATGAAAGATGTGTTAGCGCCCTCGCTTTAACGACCCCTGTCCTAGTAGCCGGGACCCTGTCCTGTTGTCGGATTCGCCTCAAGCTCCACGACCCTCCCGCCCCTTGAGCTGGAGGGCCCGCGCAGATCGGTGTTCGGATTTCCTGGCGAGACGTCTGAGTGAAAGAGGGACCTTAGAGGCCGACGGATTAACACCGTCAGTAAATCTGTAGAGGAAAGGCAAGCACGAATGTGTGACACAGTCGCAGATTTGGGTCCTCGACCTTGCCATGTCAACGGCTACCTGGTCCTAACTGTTATCGTTTTGGGATCTTGATATCATGGCGACAAGTATGTTGACGTTTTCAGAATTCCTTTCTGTGACAGGAATTTGACGGCTTGGATCCCATGCCCACAAAAGTCCCCTACCTACAGGGGGGACGGGTGCAGTGGGGGGGGGGGTTATCTCTCTATTTACTTATCTATGTATCTATCCGTCTCTCCATCCATCCATAGATATAGACTTGATATAGACATAGATACAGACAGAGATAGAGATATGGATACACTCATATATATATATATAGATAGATAGATAGATAGATAGAGGATCTGCAGGTGTACATGCGGGGTAAGTAGGGGATCTTGTCAGTTCGGGGTTTAGGGCTCAGGGTTTATGAGGGACATTGTACGTAGTCGTCCTGGGCATCGAGTGGCATACAAGTCGTTTCCCTGCCCCTCAGGTGAGGCACCTGGAAGCCCTGAAAATCCCAACCAGTGGAACTGTGCAGCTAACATGGAAGCCCAAATATGAGCCCTGACTAACGTAGAAGAGTGTATATAAGGGGGCCCTTCTTAGCACCACAATGGGATTCTGATAAGGAGCTGTGGAGGGATTTCCTTTTGGCGGGGCATAAATACGGCCCTTTCTCGGGCTCCCAGCCTAAACCTCTAATCCCTTATAATCCCCAAACCCTAAACCCTTGACCCTAATCCCTAGCCCCAATTTTTTTCAAAATTTCGATTTATGTTAGGTTTGGGAGGGTCTTGCTGGCTTTCGGTGTGTTTTTTGCTGAGGGTTTCAGGCATGGATGATAACACGTTAACCGAGGCGCGCCACTCGCACGTGGCAGTCTGGACCGGCAGTTTCATGATTGCGGCTCTTTTGCATCACAAACGGACACAAAGCCTACACCCCTGCATGCCCGACGAACCCTTGATCCCCAAGCCCAAAATTCTCAACTCTACACCCGGTGTGCGTTGGTGAGTTGAACCCGCCATGTCTGCCGAGGTTGCATCTGGAGTGAAAGGCAACACTAACAATCCTGATGATACGGGCGCGTGGCACTGGCATCCTAGCCAAGACGGTAGCGGCACATGGGTCGAAACTGTGTCGCGGAGCATGAATTGGGACAAGTTCTTATGTAACTTGTCAAGCTGTAACTTGTAATGTGAGAGCCTGAAATCTTCCGTCAGTCCATAGCTATCATGTCCCAAACCGGCAATGGCGTCCAAAATGATCGGGCAATGGGACAGTGCACCCAGGAAATCTCTCACCACCTTACCTAGCTTAGATCACGGTAGTCCTTTCCCGTGATGAAGCACCGTTTCCATGATCATGAATTGTGAAACAGCGCAGTTTAAGTCTTTAAGTGGTGAAGATCTGCTCCAGCAGCGAGCAGTAATCCCTCCATTAGTGCTTATTCCACCCACGCCTTATCTTGTACATTCCTATTGTGGTACATCATCATACAGACTTACTCGGAGAAGTTAGTTATTGGGGGACTGTTGTGGAGGGTGGGGGCAGTACCCAAGCCAGGAGGCAGGGGGAGCTTAGAGTTCAGCCTACCGTTTAGGGGTTGAAGGCTATTTGGGGTTTAGGGGATGGCTTGATCTGATCGCTAACCCGTAATTCTGCATATCCCCTTAGAGTCTTAGAGCCCTATGAATCTGACATGATGCTTAGAATCCTGCTTGTAACCTCCCCGAAGCCCGAAAACAGGCCCTTGTCTAGTTAAGCCACAGGTCTCCATCCCACCCTGGGATGGCAAGCAGCACCCGCGGAGATGCAGTTTGGGATCCACAGACTCTCCGCATGTACTATGGGTTCCAGGAGACCGCAGGGATTTTGGGGTTTCTGGCTTCAGGGTTCAAGTTTTGGGATTTGGGGTGGACAGATATCCTGACTCAATTCGCTCTTGTACGGGATTATGGCCATGATACTATATTCATAATAAGGAACCCTCAAAATAGTATGGGATTGAGGAAGGGCGAGACTACATAGGGGTTCCCGTTTGGGGCTCTTTGTCGGATTTGCCGGGTTTGGGTTCGGACAGGTTCTCTTGCCTCGGGTTTAAGACAAGGAACCCTAAAGCTGAAGCGATGGTTGAGCGATGTGACATGTGTGGGTTTTTGTTGGGTCTTCCTGGTCACTGCGTCAGTGAGTCCGTCAGTCCAGAAGTTCAGTCAGTCAGCCTGTCGCAGCGTGCCTGCTGCCATCGCCTAATGAGGGGCGGCTTTACTAAGCCATCGCCTGATGAGGGGGCGGGTCTAAGAAATGTGACCAACCGCCATCGCCGAAGGAGGAGGCGGATGTAGGAAAAAAGTGGTCAACCACCATCGCGTAATGAGGGGCAGGCTCAAGAAATGTGATCAACCGTCATCGCCCGAATTGAGAGTGCCCGGCTTAGGAAATGTGATCAACCGTCATCGCCTTAATGATGAGGGGCCCGGTGTAAGAAACATTATCAGCCCGGATTTAAGAAACGCGACCAACTGCCATCGTCGAAAGAGGAGGCAGGCTTCACGAAATGTATTCAACTGCCAATTTGTTGGTGGATGTAAGAAATGTGAGCAACTGCCATCGTGTGGCAGATTTAACAAACACGTTGATCATGACCTATAAGGTTTACGACGTGATCAACCGCCGTCGCCTAATGAGCGGGCGGGCTCAAGAAAAGTGATCAACTGCCATCGCCCTTATGAGGGGGCCGGTGAAAAAATGTGATCAGCCGCCATCGCCCAATGGTGGTGCGGGCTCAATCGCCATCGCCTAATCAGCGAGTCTTCGAGATGTGATTAAGCCCCATCGCCCAATCAGGGGAGGAACTTATGTGATCAGCTGCCATCGCCTAATGGGGGTGTGGGTTGACATTTTCTGATCAGCTCCCCCCTTACGGCCTCATCACTGTGACTGGTGTACACACACATGCGCCTTCGTTCATTCGTCGGTTCCAATTGATTGAAGCGCCGTGCCGTGGTGTGAGCTCCGTTAACAAGCTCAATCCTTGTGACTGCTGCACTTTCGGAAGCGGAAAACCCAAAACCTACAGGAACATATATCATACACCCCCCAAAAGCACCGAGAACCAATCTGGCTACCTTGAGGCAAGGCTGCGGGCTTGTCCCTTCAGGTCAGTCGAGAAGTTGTACATGTACGCATGTACGGTGTTACAGCTTTGAAGGCGAACTGTGTACAACCAGATTCAAAGACTTGAATGAGGATTTTGTGTATAGCTGTATGAGATTCTTGTTGTTGTGCGAGACAACAAGTGAACCGTCGCACCCGATTGCCAGGGCAGAAGTCGGCTAAAGCTGTTGGGAATATGGAAAGCTGGCAAACAGATGGCACAGGCCATCAACAAACCGCCAAACCCCCTTAACCGGGTGGTTCAGGATGAAGTTTGGGAAAAGATGTTCCCCTGCCTTCGCTGTGGGTTAAGGTCTAAGGTTGGTTACAGCACTCTAAGCATCCGGCAGGCCGCCTCGAATTTTTGGTGGACGTACCAGACACCGTAGCGATCCATAGCGGCATGCTCAACCTGCTCGGTTCCTTGTCATTCAGAAGGCGTGGACCTTATATCATTCCAGCAGCCCTTTACTTAACTCTCATTCAGCCGGTTCCCAGGCTTTGACTATCAGCTTTTCTTCTTGGTAACCCCGCTCCACACTTGTAGTTCATCTCCGTGGCATACGCCGTGCTGCACCTCACAATTCGGCCATCGTTTGTTTGCCTCAACCTCGAGAATGTGCGTGGGGTTCTGAGAATTGCGGGTCCCGTGTTGTTGAGGGGTCTTTAGCCCAAGAATGCCCTATATGCCCGAAGCCTAGTGTACGACGTTGGGGATAGCAAAGGGGTAATGATTAGAAACGACCAAAGAGAGCCGGTTTAGGGTTTGTGACAACGCAAAGGCCAGTATGTCCTCTCATTTTGTGTGACTTGCAGGTCGGGTAGAAGACCGGCAGCACCGCAACGTCCTTTCAACCTCAACCGTTAAAATTAAGCCCTAGACCTTATGCCCTGGGCCTAAAACAGAGGCCCCTTTAAGCCTTAAACCCCGAACTCCTTAAGCCGTAACCTTAAACCCTAAGCGCTATAAACGCCTAAGCCCCAAGCCAACCCTCTGTTGCACCCTGAACTGGCACGGTCTCACCCCTCTAGCCTGCTCCGAATCTAGATACTAAAATGCACCATGCAGGTTTGGGGCTTTAGGGATTTAGGGCTTTGGGGTTCTATAGGGTATATGGTTTGGTGCTTCAAGGATTTACGGTTTAGGGTCTATGGCTTAGGGTATGTACATGTTCGGGAAAGTCACGGAAGCCTTCTGCATGCTGAAACGTGAAACCTGGGGCGGTCGTTTTCTCGCGCCTATGAGCCGTTGCGTTGAGCGGTTAAGGCTTGACGGGTTCGAGCCGAGCTCTGTAATGCCGGAAACCAGAAGCTGTCTTCTCACGACTTTGGGCGAGCGTCGATGCATTCAAGAGCTCTGGAACCTTGAAGAACCAGCGGGACCCTAAACACGAAGCCCTATCCGGTGTGACTTCCCGAACAATTGATTTCAATGGTCTAGCCTCTGGAGAGTAATGTAGAAGCGGAATCTTACGCCCCTACAAACTCTTTGTAATATAGACAGTATCCCGACCCTAACCCCTAGACCCCAAGCCCCATTCTAATTATCTATGCCGCTACATCCGATATTTTGCGTCCCCCACCACACCCCGGAACCCTGTTTTGATTTTGCGGCCCCGTTCTAGTTCTTTGGGGCCGACTGGCGGAGGGTTGCGTCTTACGTGGCCCGAAACCCTCAACGGCCCTGTAGAGCCCTAGAGCCGCCTTTTTTTACGCCGAGGGTGGCGGGCGAGAGGTGAAGACGTCCGAACCGGGACATCCTTAGAGACGCTTTTAGCCAGTTTTGCGCTTCGGGAACTTGGAACAGAACTAGAGCTGGACGAAATAACTACTAGCGAGAATCCCAAAAACACTGAAATCCCACAGCTTGCCAGATCCGTTCAAGTTTATGTGAGCTAAATCAGTACAGTATGAGCTATGTAAGGGTTATATAGCGTTTGAAAGTTTCCTGATTGGGGATCCTGATGATTCGGGCTCATTAGCCCTTTGTCCTCCGTCAATGACGACGAATAATCCTAAACCCTGCACCCTGAACACCGCGACCACCTTAAACCCTGCATGTTGAACACCTTCGAGCCCAAGGACCAATATAACCCTGAACCCGCAACCCTAAACATCTCAGTCTCCTGGTGTGTTGGGCTTGAGGCTGCGAGACTCGGTTCCAACCAAGTTCGGAGTCCGGAGAAGCACTGCATGTATCGGCTCAATTGATCGCCAGAGGCGATTGCTGAGTCAATTTCTCGTAGAGCCATTGCCCTTGCGATGCTGTTCAGGGTTCAGGGTATCGCCATCCACAATCTTGAAACCGCAGTACAAAATCTTCTCAGGCGGTGTTGCGGTAGGGTTTCAAGGCCTCAAGAGCGGGGTCTGTCCATTACAGAACTTTGCAGCTTGTTTACAGCCCAAGAGGCTTTTGTTGTTCCGGATTTAGCTAACCGCCATAGCTTTACGTGCCCTGAAACCCTGGGCAACGATGTGATTGATTATCGCAAGGACTTCTGCTAACAGATCACACTCAGTCGTTTCGTCGACTGCCGAGGCGTGAAATGTGTAATGTAGGGGTCTAAATCATGAGCAAATCTATCCACGATTACCATGTACCCCCACCCCCCCTCCCCTCTAAAACCTTAATCCTGGTTATATATTCAGGTCCCTACAGTAAGGCTTCACAAGAAAAGGTGCAACACTAAACACAAAACCCTCAAGCCTCAACATAGAATTTAGGGCTTTTAGGGTTCCAGCCTACCAAAAAAACGCACTTGGTTGGAAGCATATAGGCTCAAGCTCAATCTCAAGCTGAGCCTTTGTGCTATGTGTCTCTTTCAATTTTGTCCGCGTTGTCGAGGAGGTGGAGGGCATGGCGGATTTTTCTCAATACTGCTCGTCCTGTTTGCCCTGATGCGCCTTGCAGCTGTTGTAAGCACGGAGGAGCATGTGAGCCATCTTCTTAACGCCTTAGAGGGTGTGTGTGTGTGTGTGTGTGTGTGTGTGTGTGTGTGTGACTATGGGCCTTTTTAGTTCAAACTCCTTGTGTCCCGCTGAAGCCTCACCGCAACAACCCCCTTTTTTGGGTCCCGTGCATTGAAGCTCCGCTCCGAACAGATGGGGAAAAGCCACTCTTCAGTCGAGGACTTAGGGTTTGGGGTTCAGGGTTAGGGATAAGAGGGTCCGGGGGCGTAATTACAGGGCAGGTCTAAAAGCTGAAAGAGGGCCTTACGATATTTGTTGCAGCGTGGATACTATGCCCCATGCTTCTGCAAGGCGCGTAAGCCCAAAATCCCCAAACTCCAGACTAAAACCTCTAACCCTAAGCCCTGAACCCCTAAACCTTTAAATCCCTGAGCCCCGAGACCGTAAACAATAATTCGAAGTGCACACGAAGCCGTGCTCAGCAGTTGGGTTTCAAAGGCTAGGCCTTTGGTTTCCGGAACCCCAGACGAAGGGCGGGTTTTTAGGGGTTTTTAGGGGTCTGAAAAGAGTTTTGGGGTTTGGGAGGTTCGGAGGAGTTTAGTCAGAGCTTAAGGATGTTTAAGGCTTCGGATTTAGGAGTTTGGCGGCGCCCCAATGCCGACACTACCTGGGGGACCCCGAATCAGGCCCCAGCAAAAAACCGCTCCCAGTTCGATTCATCCGAGGCGCTTCGCACTGAGCTGCGATGTCGAGAGCGGATGTGACGATGACAGCGTCGCGCTGCTTCAGCAAAGGCCGTACGCAAAGATGAACCCGGAGATGACGAAGCTTGAGGAGTAAAAAGCTGCCCCCAAAGTTCGTGGGGAGCCCTACACCCTTATAGACCTTAACCTAGACCCAATACTAAACCCTATCAGAGCCTGAACCTCTTAGCCCTAAACCCAGACATTCTAGAAACCTAGATCCTCAACATCAAGATGAGCCGAGTGAAGAGGAGCTCGTCGATGCTGTGAAGAGGCTGCAGGAAGGTCAAGCCGCGCAAATGAAGGCGGGACAGTAAAAGCGACTTGGGGTTTTAAGGCCTTACAGGAGCTATCGTCGAACCTACTGTAGGGGATTGCATAGGAGATTTTTTGTGGTTCCGAGCATGGCTGTCTTGGCGGATAGAAGAAGTTTAAACTGCTAGGGGTTAGGGGCTTTGGGCTTAGGAGGAGGTAGGAAGACTTTGGTTATGGTTTACGGCTGAGGTCTCGGACTTCCAAGATTTGGGTGAAGAGCCAATCAAGTAGCCTCCATCCTGAGCCCAAATCCTTTCAATCCATTCCCTACCTAACGTTAAACACATGCTGAACCCCCATTCGCTAAACAGCCTCCCCGTGAAGGCCTTCCCTGCAGTAGCAGGTTAAATTGACAGCCTCCGGCACAACTTAACACGTTAACGTACCAGCAGTGTCGAAAACATTTGGAATATGGGATGTGTTCGCATACGTGCAGCTGAAGGACATGTCCCTAAACCCTTGAAAAACCCGAAACCCATGAACCCAACCAACAGGGTGAACGCTCCGAACGGAACCCGCCAAATCCTAAACCACTTGCCAAATTTCTGGGAGGTTGGGAGGGGTTGGGGTTGGAGGCCTACTTGCTTATCAATATGCAGCAGTCTGGGTCTTGACGCAGAGACCGAACCCCGAAAAAGAGTTCCATTTCCAGCATTTTCCTCCCAGAGGCCCGGCGGTACGTCATGAGTTGCCCAGTTGATTTGGATTCCAAAGCCCAAACCTTAGTGACTTTAGTGGCCTCGAGCCAATCCCACAGCGAAACCTTGAAAACTACATCTGGGTCCTTGACCTCTGAAACGCCCAAACCTTTTTTCAGAACAACAAGGCGCACTGTGTATATATATATATATATATATATATATATCAATGTCACTCACGGGTCAGGAACACCGGGGCCCCCCTTCAAATGGCAGAGGAACTCGCCGATGTGGTGGAAAGACTCCACGATGGTCAATCGGCTGAAGCGAAGGCAGGACATCGTTTTTTGGGTGCCATGGGTTTGCAGTAGAGTGGCCAAAGGAAGTTCAAGCTTGTTAGGTTGCCAAGCGTCATGTGGTCCAAGCCGCTGCAAAACTGTTGTCACGGCTCCTGGAAACGTGACTCTGTGCCCCAGATCCGCTCCTTAATCAGCGGTCCAGGTTCATGCACAGAACGTCTCCGTGCCTGCCGCCTCCGCATTGCCGCAGAAGCCCGTTCTGTTCCAAGCTTGCAAAGCCAGGCGAGCATGGTTGAGTAATGTCAGGTCAGAACACTTTTCGTAGTAGTAGTAGTAGTAGTAGTAGTAGTAGCAGTAGTAGTAGCAGTAGTAGTAGCAGTAGTAGCAGTAGTAGTAGTAGTAGTAGCAGCAGCAGCAGCAGGAGGAGGAGGAGGAGCAGCAGGAGCAGGAGCAGGAGCAGGAGCAGGAGCAGGAGCAGGAGCAGGAGCAGGAGCAGGAGCAGGAGCAGCAGGAGGAGCGGCTGCCACTGCCAGCGTGCTCCTGTGACCCCCTGAACTGTGTCAGACCTACTCCTACTTCTTTCCCGAGGACCCGAAATCCTAGCTCTTTCTGAAGCCCCTACGGACGCCTGCAAGTCAGGGTTTTAAGTTCATTGGCCGTTGATGTAACTTTCGGGTATCTCCAGGTTAAGCTCCCCACACCCCCAAAACCCTAATGCCTAAGCCCTGACCGCCTAACCAGGACAAAGAAGAAGTTCGCCCTGAGTCAAAAGATGGCCCATGCCGAGGAGAAGCAAGCAGCCAACACCACCAGGTGTGCGTGCGGGCTGTTTGGGTTTCTACTGGAAAAACCGAGTGCTTTAGAGAAAGCCCAAAATCCTAGAGGAAACCCCAAGAAGTTGCAAACCGGATTAAGGATGATTTGTGCTAGTATTCCTTGCGCTGTACTGTTAAGGATGGAGGATATAGGGCTTCCAACTTTCAGGCGTCTACTGGTTTTGGTTTCTTGTTGAGGTTTGCTTGTTTGTTGGACGCAGGGTCCGAAGGAAGCGTTTCGGGTTTGGGTTCAAAAGGGTTCAGGCTTCGACATTTGTTCATCCAATCCAGAAGCCTGAGGGAAAGTTGAGATGAGGAGCCTAAGTAATAGTAGTATATCGGGAATATAGAAATCCTAAACCCGAAAGCCAAAGGTCTAAGCCCTGAAGCATACCATCCTCCAGGAATTCCGCCCCCTCCCCCAAACTCCATGTGTGCTCTTCCATTTGTTTGTCCTTTCTGAGACTCGAGGCTCTAGGCATTCCCTTCAGCCTTGAGCCCGCCCCCTTGTGGACTAAGATCTTGACATGGAGAGAAAGGTATGCTTTGTGCGGGCCAGACGAGGTGCTTCTGACAAAGAGCCTGGGCATGCACTTTCCGACATTTAAATTGTTAGGGTTTCCTAAACCCTCACACCTTTCAGGGACACCGAAAGCGAAACAAACATCACAGATACCCAACAGCTCGTGGGTGGGAAGAGAGAGCCAAGAGCAACCTCATAAAATGTGTTGCATCCACACTTCGTCTCTCATACGAGAGCGGGTTTGTTGGTCCCCCCTGGAACCTAGCAGTTGCAACGCGAAAATCAAGACCCTAAACTACAAGAGCGAAAACGTTTCAGCATGGACGGGGTTCTGAAATTGGACTTTAGGGTAAAGGGCGTATCCTTCGAAAGATGCTGTCAAAGAATCCTTTGAACGGACAAAAGCGTTCAAAGTCCCACCCGCTATGAGAGGCGTTAGAGGCTAGCAGCAGCCACACGGCACCTCCCCATCACAAGGGTTAACATAGTTTGGTTTTAAGCTCCCAAAACCTGCTCAGCTGGTGTTTAGGACTTGGGACACCTGTCAGGTACGGCTCCACAAATGTGCAACGCACGTGCTGTACAGCATCCAGTATGGAGCCTGGGCCAAGATGTTAAAGACCCAGAGCCGGGAAACTAGATTCTCTACGGTTGCCTGCGGTTCAGGATTCGGGGTGTAGGATTTGGGGAACCCCAAACCTTAAACTTAAACTCCTAAGCCTAAACCTTTTCATCCGGGCTGAAGGGGCTTGCTTTTCGATTTGTGTTTCCACTGCGAATCAAGATGGAAATCTATAGGCGAAGCTATAAATATGTGGCCGGCAGATATGTTGCAATGTTTGCTTAAATTCCAAACATCCCTTTAACGGATAGGCAGCCCCTGATGGGTGCATCAGCAGACTATACCTGATGTTCGTCTTCACTTGGAGTGACTCAAGATGGATTCAGGGCTCAGGGTGTTTATGGATTGTGTATTTGGTGTTTCACACATTTGTGAAAAGCGATCATGCACAATACTACGGATATTTAGAGTGACTCAAGATGGATCTTATCGCTCATGCAGGGTTTAAGGTAGAAGTTTCAGGCCTAAACCCCAAGCCGTGAACGCTCAAACCTTCAAGCCTAACATACAACCCTGCTGATGCAGCGTAGCCTGCACGACGTCGGGTTGAGGGTTGAGGGTAGTTATCAGCTCAGGTATGTGCAGGTTGCGCTCAAGCTGCGGGTCAGGCTTGCTTGGAGTGCGCCGGTGGCTTCATCAAACGTGGAGGTGCAAGGGAATGGAGGAATGGGTTATTGTAAAGGATCCAGAGTTTAGATTCCTGAGTGAAGTGTTTTAGGAGGGAAACCTACATAGCCTTACAGATGTGCTCCCCACATAACCCCTGCAAGAAGTTTGGAGGACTGCGCATACACCGCAGTGACGCCTATTCCCTTGTACGGTTTTTCGGGGCGCGGTTTCGGGGTCCTTGAAATTCAGAATAGGACCTACGAGATCCGCAAGAGCCCGGATGAACCTAGGGCGCCCAAGAGGTCCCTAATCTCCTGCGCTTCAATTTGGTTTGGGGGGCCCCAGAACCGAAGCGTTTCGACGAGCACCACCCTCAGGCCGGGCCCCAAATCCTAAACTTCAAAATCCTAACTACCCCCCCGAAAAACAGAGGACGCTGCATTGCTTGCGCCGACTCTGCTGGCTGGCGAAGTGCGAACAAGCAAACTTGTGCACAGCTTGCCTTCTCAGACTGTAGCTGGGCTGCTGTTTTGCATCTACAGGGTTGGAGGTGTAAGTCCGTAAGGTCGAGGGCTTGAGGCGGGGGTCAATGCTGTTGCAAGACCGTTAGACTGCAACCAAGGTAGTGATGTGAAGGTCGGCAGCAAGAGCAGCAATGAGGCCAGATGCTGGTCGCCAGCTTGGAGGGCTCGCAGGAACTCCCCTGAAGTTAATCATTTTGCACGTCTTCACGATGGCCCCTAGTCCTGATGAAGTAGGTGAACCCTTGACATCGTGAGCTTGCTAGGTTCCGTTCGACGATGTTCGATAACGAGTCTTCTGAAAGCCAGCTACGTTTGAAAAGCCTTGCGAACTTGCCGCGCTCGAGATTGTGCACAGGCAGAATCTCCTCCCTCGAAAATTCCCTACAGTGCAACACACCACAATGGGAAGACTTACAAGCAAGGCGAGGGGTGGGTTTTATTCTTACGGGGAGGGGATGGCTTTGCAGCTTGCAGGCATGTTGCATCTGCGGTGGTGGCGTGGTCAGCGCGACGCCATTTTCCTATCCTGCCGTGCACCTCGCGCTGCTGGGCTGGCCATTGGTGTGAACACGGTTTAGGGTTTGCTTGGTTGAGCTTTCTTATCACTTAATCGCTGCGTCGCTTTTGGGGCCAGCGCAGTAAAAGCGAGAGCTTTCGAAACGGATTAAATGACAACCTGGGCTTGTCAGGTTTACCAAAACCCTAAACCGCTAAACCCTGTATGAAAAGGGTTCAAGACGTCGAGGTTGGGCAGCCCCGTGGATGTTTTGCCATCTCCGATGACGGCGTCGCATTATTCACTTAACGAGGACTCGTTGAGGGACCCTCTCTCGGCTTTCAATCGTATTCTCTTGACCTTACAACCCAAGCCCGAAATCCTCCAACCCTGACCCTGAACCACTCCCCAAACCTGCCCTCCCAACGGTAACAGGGTTTAGGATTCGGGATCTAGGAGTCCCAAAAGGGCCCTCTAAAGACGGCCTCCTCTTCGAGGCTGTAAATTCCCAGCTTCTCAGCTACAGGACTGCTGTCCACCACGACCCTAAACCCTAAATAACTCCGAACTACACACGGCTGCAGGACTGTGAGCTGTCAACATACAACCTGACCATGAATGGCGCGACCGGTGCCATCACGCAGGACCTCAGCGTTCAGAGGGTAGGGTTTGCACCCTGGGACGGGGTGGTGCAGGTAGGAATGGCTCCAACATGACACTGAAGAGCTGGAAGACAGTGTTGGCCACTCCTGCGGATTAATCGGCACAGGCACTACTCCTTTCGAAGGCCTCACCCCGCGGCCTTGATGCCGCGAAGCCGGTCTTCGCGCTGCGCAGTGCCCGTGTCCTGTTAACACTTCAGGAAAGAACACTATCCAAATTAATTAGCAAAGGAGTTTGTTCGAGAGGTGTTAGAGCTTCGCTTGGTCGTCGTGCGGACTTCATCTTTGGATCCTCCACTATCCGCCACGTGTCGCACCCATCTTGTAGCAAAACTCCTTGTGTTCTTGCTCCCTTCGTGAAAGCATTGGCCAGCTTCTGAGTGGAGCGTACCCAGCGGACCACAGGGCCTCGAACTCGATTGTAATTTCTTTGCGCTGAATAGTCCTGGTTTGCGTTCTCCGCCGCCTGCAACGCAAGAGCTGCTTCTCGTAGACATTTCGTGAGTCCGTGATCAGACATCCACTTACGCGAACAGCCATGCCTGATGTCAATGGACGTCTGTACCGCATGTAGAAAAAGTCGTTTGCTCCGTTCACAGTTCTTTCGAAGCAGCCCCAATAAAATCCTTTGAGAGCTACCCACATCCATCCGGTTCTTGTCAGCGATGTCCACCCAAGCGTAGAACTGCATTTCCAAATGAGTGCACCTATGTATGACCAGCTTGTGTTGCTTTCGGAGTTTCGCGTAGTAGAGAAGGAGGTGGTTTAGACCATGGATTCCATGGTGGTTTTACAGAGCAGAAAGGAGCATGCTCCAGCAGCTACAGTATATGCTGACTGGTCTGCTCAGCATACCAACTCAAACCTCTTGACTGCGCCGTTAGCTGGGTTTGCTCACGATCGGCTTCAGGGGAATCTTTTCGATTCCCTCCAAGTGCCTAGGCTGAGATAAGGTGAAGCCGTCCTTGGTACTTTCCATCAGAACTCCAGACTGGATGAAACTATCCTGGTCCCAACTTCCCCTTGCAAATTAGACAATTCCCTGCCGGCCAGAATCCGCTTTGGGTCCTCCAAATATGAATTCATCAACATCTCCCATCACCGTCCCTTTTCAGTGGCTGTCAGGTTTCCACACCCACGCGCAAGCCTCACTCTACAAGCGAACTAACCCCATGCCTTCCATGAAATCGACGACGGTTTTGTGCCACTCCAATGGCGCTAGCACAGGATCGTAGCATGCTGGCTTTCGTGCCGGGTGGTAGCTGCATAGTTTGTAGGATTTCATCACATGGCACACAGAAACGCTCATTTGCAAAGGTTCTACCACCTGGACGAAGGCGGCGGAGATGTCCCCCCGTTAGAATCCTCCAGCGACGAGCTGTAGTTGACCGATGTTCTTAATTTGGTTCTTGTTCTTGATCTTCCCATAGGATGGCTGGCTTCGCAGTCCCAGCGTCTTGGAGTTTCCAAGTCAGAAGCCAGCGCATGACGATTGCCTTTGCTTTCGCAATGGAATGCTTGGGTAAAGCTTCAAATGCCTTTGCAGATACGACGTTCTTTGCTTTTACAGCTTTCGCCGCTCAGCGCTCACGGCCCTTGGCCGACAGTCTCTTTTCACCACCTCAGCGGCCCGGTGCTTTGGGATCCCTGCTATATTGGCCGTGGCATTCTTCTGCAAAATCTCTCCCAACCCTTGGCTTGCGTCGGCATGTCCACCGCAATCTCCACTCTGGTTTCCCCCTCTGTTGTTCAAAAACTTGGTATTCTTGTTGTCCTGCTCCCCCATCGTACTTCTGGCACCAGGACTATCGGAATTTTCAGCAAATTGCACTCCATTCCCCAGACCAACTGGACAATCGGTCGTTGCTCCTGCTTTGCGGCGCTGGTCTGTGGTCTCGGTTTTTTCTGGCAGTTGCCTTCACATGATTCAACTGATCCCGGACAGCATCCCTTGAGAAAACCGACATGGGATGTCGGCCCGCTACATGTCGCTTGCAAGTGTCAGCGCCGTCCCAGCTTCCAAGTACCACTTTTCAAAGCGGCGGTAGCTTGTTCCCAAAGCAAAAAAGTTTCCTGCCTTTCCTGGTGCTAGGATGCTGATCTTGCCTGCCGACTCCTGCCTCCCGGTCACTTTGTCGGCTGTGGGAGCCGTATCGCGCAGTCGCCTTGGCCTTGATTTTTCTTGTCCCACTGAAGTACGGGCTCCGCTACCATGCACGCCGCTGAAACGCGGTGGTGCTCATAGATCCATGGAAAGCTGGAAGGTAGGTATTGAGAACACCTTCGAGAACAGATATCAAACGTAATTAAAGTATCTACTGTCTACGGTTTCGGAAACGTTGAGCTGTTGCGGCTACCAAAAATCAGAACAGCACGGGTTTACCGTGCTATTTACCCAGCCGTTTGCTCACGTCCACATGTGATAAAGTGTGTTCGCAGCGAGCAATCCCAGACAGACCGTTCGTCAATTTCGCACACCCGACAACAGGCCCCAAAACATGAAGCATTTTTGCAACCCGATCCGATGGAGCATGAGCTGGAAACGGGTTGTTAACTTTTTCCACCTTGAACCTCAATCTGTTGATCGTAGCTTCAGAAGCTCCGAAGCCGAAGCCAATCTGGAGACCATAAGCCCAAAGCTTACAAACCAGGATCCGGGCAAGCTCATGCCAAAGGAAGCTTTCAGCATTGAGTGCCTCGTGACCGCGCATCAAGCACTGGGCGCTGTTTCTTTGCTGCATTGCTTTGAGTACTTAGCAGAGGTCGTCGAGTCCCCATCTTCTCGTGGATTTCGTCTTTGTCATCTCCCGAAACGAGCAAAAGGAGGGGGACCAGACCCAGGGTGGTGGCGGCTGAGGTGGTGGTTACGGCCCACACTGTGTGTGTGTGTGTGTGCCGGTCCCAGGGTGGCATCGTAACAGGCAAAATATTATGGCAAATAGCAGTAAAGATCGAACTAGTTATCGTCATAGTAATAACCATAACGGTAATCATCGAGCAATAGTAATGACTGTAGTTATGGTATTGCAATATTCGCAATCAGTCATAGTAATGGCTCCTAAACCCTAAGCCCTCTTTGTATGGTCGCCCAACCCGAAGGGATTGAGCGCGCGGCGCGCGTGTCGGCAGGGTTTGAATAAGCCTTCCAAGGATGTGCCAAATGCGCCCCCGATTTGGCTGTATGCCCACCCCGCCCCGTAGATTGCTATACCCTAAACCCTTGCAACCCTAAACCATGGGTGGGTGGCAGTACCTTGACAGAGGAAATTGCCATGCTTGAGTTTAGCTTCCAATTGCGGCTGGGGTTGTGGGGGTCTTTACTGTGTCGGATGCACGGTATACACCACAGGTATAGGTCCTACACCGTCGCGTAGTTTTGCAACTCGCAGGCCCGAAGCGAAGAACACCACAGAGGGTCAGCCACGTTTGTTTGCAGAGTTCGGGGAGTCCACGGTAGAATCTGCAGGAGATTGTCTTGGCCGTTCACAGGACAACAAACGGACAAAGCTGCAGATTCTCTTGCACCTACTCGTGCTCAGATTGAGAAATCCGAACCAGTGCTAACATGCTAACCTTGCAAGCATTGCGCGGTGTCGTCTATCCTAGTTTGAGTTGGTTGTGCCGTCGAAGGGCCAGCCCTCTAAGCCTGTCAGAACAAGAAGATAGAGAGAGAGAGAGAGAGAGAGAGAAACGCTCGAAGGTGCTGATTCAGCCCGCTGACCCTTCTTCCATGGTGGCTTGGTTCAGGAGTGAAGATGCTGCTCCAGAATGGGAGAGCGCAGTGGGCAGCTGGAAGGGTCGCGTGACGGAGGGCAGCGTTAGCATAGTTTTCGAGGCTGGAAATGGGGCGACAAAACCTGTGCAGTACCTCTCTGGCAATACCGACGTCAGATATGACTTTGGCAAGATCATGAAGCCGGACTTCACGATTTGTTCTATCACACGGTACATCCAGGCAGGAAGGCGGAAACGCATTCTTACAAATTCTGCACCAAATTTCCTGCATGGCCATCATGACGGTAGAACAGGCGTTGCTCACTACCAGAGATGGGTCGTGAACACAGATAGTCTAGCCAATACCGATTGGCTTGTGATGTGTGGCAACAACAATCGCATTGTTTTCGCGGGCGAGGACCGCACGAACATTGCTGTCAACCAGGGTAATCGTTACGGCGCAGATTTCAACTTGTACATCAACGAAGACGGAGAGAGCTCGGACTTCGGTGTCATGGAGGTCATCACGTGGAACCGGGCACTCGACGAAGACGAGATGTGGAGAAGCATGGAGTACCTGAACGCGAAACTCAAGGCAGGATGCTTTCGTGGGATGCTCAGAGGTGTTCTGTCCAACGCAGCTTTCCAAAAGACTACTTTGAGATGCTCGACAGCCCTTTTTTGCGTCATTGGGTCTTAGTTACCACGCGGCCTAGCTATTTGCATAGCAAGCTGCTCTCGGCATGCTGGCACTGTCGGAGCTTCGGTGACCCGGCTGACCCCTCTTGGTTTTTAGCTTGTACTGCCCCTTTGACAAGTGGTGCAGACTCTCCCTGAGGCAGAGACAGTGACCTATGAGGCATCATTGAAAATCTCCATGGATGCACTCGGCTACGGCTCACCGCTGCTCGTGTTCCAAGGAGCTCCAGGGTTTGCAAGCTCTGGGGTGCGGCCAGAGGGAGCCCCCCCTGAGAAGGGGCAATGGTTTCACGGTTGGGGTTGTGGCGCTTCAGGGTAAGTTTGTGGGTCACAGATCCATGTGTGTTGTCGTGAGCAGCAAGCGGTGTCTCCTTTGCAGGAGCTAGTCCTTCGAAAGCGGCGATGAAGGCCCTCGGACTTGCACTGGCAGTATGCATGAGGCTTCATTGAGTTTAGGATCCGCGGACACGGAGCGATCTTGCTTCAAGGGTTTAGGGTGGCAGTAGTTTCCATGTTGCTTTCCAGCACCGATGGTATAAGGAATGCGAAGGGAACTCGGAGCATTGTAAAGTTCTGAGGGGTGTGTGTGTGTGTGTGTGGGGTGTGTGTGTCTTACCCATACATGGAAGCATGTATAAGGCCGCCAGAGTCAAGAAGCAGCTAAGAAGCGGCAGTGTTTTTCCTCCGTTCTCCGTACTAGTGTGCATCGTGTTGGAAAGGTGTGGCATAGGTCTACCACGCACACCGGACCACGCACTTTAAACATTCCGCCGGGCGCCAAACAACGGTTGGCTCAAGTCTGAGCTCTGGCTCCAGACACACACACACGGGTTAGCCCAGCTACCGATAGGTAGGGTAGCTGTAGCGCAATTCACAAAATATCTACCCGTGGTGTGCACGAGGCCTCTTGACAACGGCGAGGGACTGAGCATCAAAACGGCTGTCCGCCCTGATCTGGTTACAGCTTGGTGAGGAAGCTACATGAACACATACACAGCACCTGACAAGATACTGCCCTCACGCAAGGAAGCTGAGACCCCTACACAAAGTTGGAAAGCGACAGATTTCGGGCGGTTCCAACCATTTACACTGAGTAGCTGGATAGGCAACCTGTAATTGTAAACGTTGGTGCTGAGGTGAAGCCGTTGTGTAGAAACAAGTGGAGTGATCAAGTCCCCTGCTCCTAAGCCTGCCATGGCTCACCAAACACGCGGAGTTTTTACACACAAGCAGAAGACAGAAAGAACGTGAAGTCTGTGCTACTTGCGAGGGCTTGGCACCTACAACTATGAATGTACAGATGTGCTTAAAATGCATTGTTCAAGACCTACTGTGCTTGGCCTACGAGCAAAAGGAAAAAGGACATGTACACATGGCATGAGCTGCAAAAGAAACACGCACTTCAGCACTCCTCCTTCGCAGCCCCGCCAGGGAGGTGCGACCTGCTTGCTACTGCAGGTCCAACCCGTCAGGGTGACGACACACCTACCCTGAACTACCTGCCAAAAGCTTTGCCAACTGCCCTCATTATGCGAGGGCTCTCAAGGCACCTCGTGTGGGAAAAAGACACCGCTACGGATGAGCTCACTGAGAGATCCAACCCGTCAGGGCGGAGTGGTTCCTACTCGCCGTCACGCCACCACTCCCTGGAAGGGTGAGAGAGCAGTGCTCGTCGCCTACACTGTCAACACATTAGGCAAAGAGCTTGAGCACGAGTTTCAAAGCCTTGAAGCTTTAGGCTTTCCACTCCCAGCGTCGGTACGTTTACCGCTGACCGAGCAGCAAGACGTGAGACATCTAGACGCATTTGACTGCTTCGAAGAAGAGCCTGTTCAGGAGACAAAGGCACGTCACCCTGACGGGAAGACTTCTGAGTTAGCACCGGGGACTGTGCTTAAAGGCGGAGGTTGGAAAGAAACCCAAGCCGTAGAAGCAAGTACTGTAGGGCTGGAAGTGTCGTGGAACCTTAAGCACTCACCAGACCGAAGGAGAACGCAGTCTGAGCACGCCCTGCTAGCTTGCCAACCAGACACCGAGACACAGGTTGAGGATGAGGAGGGCGTAAGCGAAGACTACTTCCCGGAGCAACCTGTGCTGTGGGAGCTGTGGGTTCCAGACCCGCAGACAGGTGGTGAGCAGCTGTGTGTTCTCCGGTCTGACGACTCGGACGCGAGTGAAGCGTGTGCCCTTTGCAAGTCTGAGCCGGTTTACACTACCAATGTGGAGCTGTTGCTTGACGGGTTGCAAGAACCACTGCAGGTAGTCCACACTGTAGAATCTCGGGATGCAGAGCAATGCATCGAGAAGTGGATGCCGTCCATTCACAAAGAGATCGGTGTTATTGAGAAGGCTGTGCGGCGACTGCCCCCTGCAGAGGTTCGTTCGGGAGGTTGGCTAAGGCGTAAGGAAGTGAAGGTGGTTCCGTCTCAGTTTGTGTTCACAGTCAAGCCACCAGACCCTGTTGAGGGTGACGCTGCCCTCGCTACCCGGAAGGGTCAAGCTTACCACAAACGCAAGGCTCGCTTGGTTGCTTGTGGCAACCACGCCCCAGGCACGGGTTCCGAAGTCTGCGCTTCAGGTGCTGCTGCAGAGACACTCCGTTGTTTCGTAATCATCAGCTCCAAGAGGAAATGGTGCATCGGATCTTTAGATGTCACCTCAGCTTTTCTGCTGACCCCGATCCCGCAAGGCAGAGGCTTTCCAGTCTTTGCTCTCACGCCGCCGAGGTTGCTAGTGAGACTTGGTTTGGCAGAGGAAGGGCAGCTTTGGATCCTCACGCACGCTGTGTACGGGTTGAGGGAGTCGCCTAAGTTTTGGTCGGACTTGAGAGGGACTGCCAACTTCGAGCGTTGAAGTGTGTCGTGGACGGAGTTGAGCTGCAGCTCCAGCAAGGAAGGCTGGACCCAAACTGGTGGCGTGTTGTTCGCACCTCTGACGGGGTTGTCGTAGGAGGGTTCCTTACCTACGTCGACGACTTTTTGCTTGCAGGCAGTAAAGAGGTGATCGCAGCCTTGGCTACGGCCATCCAGGGCATCTGGAAAACGACGCTCTCGCAATTGCCACCGCAGAGCACCCGTTAAGGTTTTTAGGGGTTGCGATCCGAGTGCAGGGTTCTGGGCTTGCTTTCTCACAAGAGGCTTACGCAGAAGAGCTGCTACGCCTGAACATTGTCAAGCCCACTGAAGAGTCCGTTCGTACAGTGCAAAGACTGACGGGAGAGATCCTGTGGCTAAGTCAGCGCACCAGGCCGGACCTTGCGTTCATTGCCTGTGTTCTCGCCACGTTGAGCACGAAGGCTCCTGAAAGGGCTTCACGCATCGCCGAGAGGGCGCTTGCATATGTGCAGTCAACAAAGGGCTTTGCTCACACCGCTGACGCGGATGACACAGGTTTAGTTGCTTACAGCGACGCGTCTTTCGCGCCGGAAGGCAACCGCTCACACACAGGGTGGGTAGTCTTCTTGCATGGCTCTCCCATTTGCTGGCGCTCCGCAAGGCAAGCGTTTGTCACACTACTCAGCACTGCCGAGTCTGAGCTCGTCGCAGGACTCGACGCGGTTATCGCCCTGCAGTCTGCGGAAGCGATGTTGAGTGAGTTTGGTGTTGTCCACCAGGACAAAATCCTAAAGGTAGACTCACAGTCTGCGCTTGCTATCGCCACCGGCCATGGGTCTTGGCGAACCCGCCATTTACGGGTGCGCGCCAACTACTTGCGAGAGCAGTATGAGGCAGGAGAAATCATCCCCATCTATTGCCCAGGTGTTGAGCAGGCCGCAGATCTTCTGACAAAAGCACTTCCATCTGCGAGGATCCTTGAGCTCGCAGCCATCTGGGGTTTGCTTGAGCATGGCGTACATCGCCGGGTGGAAGCCCAGGATTACAGTGAAACCCAAGCTGTGGGCACGGGGATCTTGGCACAGCAAGACCTGCAGCTGAGTGCCTTCGCTGTCCTGCTCGCCTTCTTTCAGGGTGTAGGAGCCAGCCACACAACGGACGAGGAAGAAGACTTGTCTCTCCCTGTGTCGCTTGATGCAGATATGATGTTGGCAGTATCCATCATCTTCATTGGTATCTGCTTCATTGCAGTGTGGGAGTTCTTCAAGTGGTGCCTTCAAGGCGTCATCTCCCGCCGAGAGGCAGGGACACCCGTGTTGTCGTTGAGCCCTCGCAAGGTGCGCAAGTTACAACGCCTTCGAGATCAAACTGCGCAGGCCATCCAGGCCGAGATCTCTGCACGTGAGGAGGCAGCAAGCTCGCAGTCTGTTGCTGCAGCGCCCAGACGCCGCCCCTCACAAACAACTCGCACGCGTGAGCAGGCAGGTGGAGCACCAACGCGTTACTTTGCAACACCCGAAGGGACCAAGCTCCACCGCACTAAGGCCTGTTCCACGCTCGCCCACTCGCACAGGTTTGTTGAGTTTCAAGTGTGCCAGCAGTGCCACGGGAGCGCTGCAGACCGCACCTAGCACAGCACAGGGTAGGGTCTAGGAAGAAGGCTTGCCGCGCTCCAACTTGTGAGTTGTCCCTAACCACCGCTTGCCTTTGCCGTCTACCCTCTCCTCTACAGGGCCACTGACGTGGTCACCAGGCTTGAGTTCTATCCACAAATCCCCTCCGTTAGGCGGGAGCTGCAAAGGGAGGACTACGTTTGTGGATCCTTGCAGGTTGTGGTGGTCGGCGTGCACGGGTTGAACAATGGAGTCGGACAACCAAAGCGAGGTGTACTCAGCTGTGGGTGCAACTGCGGAAAGCACCATATTCATAAGCACTGTCAGCCAAGGCTTATCTGTGGTACCCCGTAGAACTCCTACAACACCACCGTGACGGTACAACCCGGTTTTGTGTTGCAGCTCGGGCGCTGCTCTGCACACTTCGGCGAACACCCACAACGCTTCATCAAGGTCCCAGTCGTCGTCGATAAGCTCCTTTGCGAAACCTTCAAGGTCTTGCAAGCTCAAGCGCGCTACACGGGCAGACTCCTCCTCATCCAGTGGCACAGGCCCTTCCGGGTGTGGAGCTTCTGCTGGCGGTGGCAAGGGTGGCGGCGGGTCGAGTGCAAAAACGTTGTCAAGTCTTGCACCACAGGACCGCTTGCCGCTAACCCTGCGTGGAGGTGGTGCGTGCTCCTCCTCAAGAGAGTCTCCTACAAACCGTAAGGGCGGTGGATCCGGGGAAACAAGGCGGGTGCGAACATGGAGTGTTTGCACAAAGCCGTTGCCAACACCATCGCTGCGCAACACGATGTGACCATCATTCACAGATGGTGACAACCCCATATACTTACCTTCAACCCATCTATCCTCCAAATCACCCTTCTTGCTAAGAAACTTTCGCTTCACGGAACACTTCCCTCCAAAGTGGATGGCAAGCTTGGACTTCATGCCCAGCTGTTGCGCCCGTTACTGAGCC